GTTCACAGCAAGCATGGGAGGAGAATCTGGGCAGACCTTTCCAGCACCCCCCAGCAGGCCCGCCCACTACAGGCCCAGATAGTAAGGAGCTTCTGTGGAACCCCTCCCAACACGGAGGATGGGTAACCAATGAGACATGCTGTCGTGGAGGTTGACACCAGAGAAAGCTTCTCAGAGATGGAAACTTGAGCTCTGGCTTTGCAGGACAGGCAGACTATGCACGTGGAGGAGGGAGCAGGGCCTCCAGGCAGGGGAGCTGCCCGCACTAGTGTTGCATGTGTCTGGGGGGCAGAGACCAGGTGTGGCTGAGCTGGGGAGACTTCATGTCTAGGCTGAGGCCGAAGGCCTTTGTCCTGCTGGCAGTAGGGAGCCACAGAGGAGTCCTGGGCAGGAGCATATCAGAAGGAGGGAGGCAGGAAGGGGAGCACTCTAAGCAGCTTTGGAAATGAGGGACATCAGCAGGCTGCTCTGGGTCTATGAGGGACAGTCCAGGCTACCTTTAGGTTTTAAGTTCATTCCGCAAGGCGGGCCCAGACTCAGCTGCTCCAATCTCTTCCTGTCCCTGTCTTCTCATCCTCTATATTCCCCCTTCCTTCAACCCCAGGCCTATGGGCCTGCCTCCAGGATCCCAGGCCCCTCTGTCGGGAGCCTTCAGGGATAGGCTGAGCCCCACCCAAGAGCACAGGTGTGGAGGTTGCTGACCTAACCGGCAGCATGGCCAGGCCAGGCCAGCACATGGGAGGAGCAGGACCAGCCAGTTTATCACCCTCAGGTGATAGCAGCTCTCTCATGCCTGCGGTCACCCGTGACTTCAGACACTGGGAGGGACACTCCAAAAAGCTAAATAAACACGAAGACTGGGTCACACGGCTCCCTTGCTCTCTGCCCACTCTCACCCCATAATCAACTTTCTCATCCCACTCAGAAGGATCAATAACGGTGAGGCAAAGAGAGGAAGCGGGGCGGGGGGGGGGGGGGCTGCATCCCCAGCGCTGGGCTCGTCAAACGGCAGCTGGGGGTGAATTAGTCTGGGGGAGCCCGGCAGAAGAAAACTTAAGAGGCCCTTCTGGGTTCTGCCTGCCATAGACCTGGGTCTGCTGCTTACTTGCTGTGTGACAGGTCCCTTCCCCTCAAGAGCCTCAGTTTCCCCATCTGAAGAATGAACATATTGGACGGGAAGGCCTCTAAAGGCCCCTCGGACCTCTGACTTTGGGGCATTCTTGTGTAGGGGCCCCACAGCGCCATTGCCTGGATTAGAGCCCCAGCTCTTTCACTTAGCTATGGGGTCTTTGGGCCTCAGTTTCCTCGATTTTCAGAGTATAAGAATTATACATATTTCATAAAATGGAATGAAATGACACATGCCAAGTGTATAGCCCACAGTCGGTGCTCAGTAAATGAGAGGTCAAGGCTTTGGGTGGAGTTCCAGCTCTTGGGCTTCAGTGTTTGCAATAAAAGGGAGGGAAGATACGTAGGGAGGCATAAGGAGCAAAGAGCCTGTGTCCCCAGCTGTCATTCCAAGGGCAGGACCAGACTCTGAAGTTCCACACTCCTGTCACTTACTTTCCCTCCTCTTCAGCCAGCCATAAACACCCCACACCCCAAGCGGGGAACCCCAAGCAGAGCAGGCCTCAGGTGGGTGATGACGCGCAGGGAGTAGAGCCACCACACTGGGGCAGCAGAGATTCGGCTGGGACAGCAGGGGATTCCTGGTCTCAGGGAGGATGGGGGTGGGGGGTCAGAAAATGGGGCAGCGGGGCCAAGGCAGGGGACCTTGGAGCAGATGGAAGCTGGAGGGTGGTCACCTGTCTGCTGACCCTGAACTCGGGTCATGCACTGTATTCATTCATCCATGCAACCATTTGTTCCTGTATTCATTTCTTTGCTTATTGAGTCAGCCTGTCTTCCTTCCTTCCTTCCTTCCTTCCTTCCTTCCTTCCTTCCTTCCTTCCTTCCTTCCTTCCTTCCTTCCTTCCTTCCGCTCTCCCCTGGTCGCTCATTTTCCTCCCCTTCCCATTTGTCCACCCAGGCAGTCAATTGGACATAACATCCTGAGCCACAGGAGGACCAGCCTGGCCACCTCTGCTGTTCTGGGGTCTTTGGGGCAGTGACCCACTGTATGGGGTTTACAAAGGACTCTGGGCCCTGGCCGGTTTGGCTCAGCGGTTGGAGTGTGGGCCTGCGGACCAGAGAGTTCCGGGTTCGGTTCCCGCTAGGGGCACATACCAAAAAAAAACAAACAAACAAAGGACTCTGGGCTTGGGACCAGTGGGGCTCCAAGGGGCTGTCATCCACAGACTGGCAGTAAAATGCAGCCACACAAGACAGTCTAATAGTAAACAGTTCCCTGGCCAGGCAGATTGACCTGGACCACCTCCTCACTCCAAAATAAACTCCAGGAAAACAGTACCATGTCTGAGATTTGGGGAAATTCCTTGCCAACCAGGGCAGATTTTCCCAGCCCTAATCCCCTCTTGCAGAAGCTTGAGCACAGAGTGGGGTAAGGCTGGACTTTAACATCAATAGATCCGAGGGCTGAATGAACTCGCATATGAGGTGTGATGTGGGGAGAGAGTCTGCCTCTTGCTGGCTATGGATCTCAGACGAGAATGTAATCTCTCTGAGCCTCAGGTTTCTCATCTGTGAAATGAGGCTAACAATCCCCACCTGCCAGGGACGGTGCCTGCACAGGGCTAGCGATCCTTTCATGGGTGCTGTTATTATTAGGGAATGTTCAGTGAAACTGTAAAGCATGACACACATCCAGGGTGTCATTAGGGTGATTATCCCTATAGCAACCAAGGCCAAATGCCTCTGCCTGACTCTCTGCTCCCTCCACCCCCAGTCTGGCCCCACCTGCCTTCCAGCCCTGCCACCCAAAGCCTGATGACAGCAGCAGTGGGGAGTACAAGGGATGACTAGGCTGACAGCTGATCGCTAGGGGATAGGGCCCCTCCCCACCACTTGCTGGGGTGGAGAGCCGTGCTCAGTGGCTATACACCCAGCCCAGTGCCAAGTCACTACCCAGCCCTGTGGCAGTTTCGGGGAGGGAGGGGCCCCTGAAGGGTGGGGAAGTCCTAGGATGTTTCCTCTACCCAGGTGAGGCTCCATTCAGCCTGCTGACCAGGGCCCTGGGTGAGCTTGGAAGATGAGTCAGGGGTCAAGGGTCTGGGCTCTGCCTGTGTGCAGTGAGGGACAGTGACGCCTGCCCTGGCTGCCTCTTTGGGCTACAGTGAAGCTCAAAGGGGGCTAAGGGGACTTTTCCCTCATCGAGGACATGTTCATTGATTTGGAGAGAGAGAAACATGAATGTGAAGGAGAAACACTGACCAGTTGCTTCCCACATGCACTGGGCCAGGGGCCAGGGCTCCAACCTGTCACCTTTCAGTGTACGGGAAGATGCTTCAACCAGCTGAGCCGCAGTGGCCAGGGCTGAGGGGTTTTCTCATGTGTAGGGCTTGGAACTCCATGCGGGTGACACCATGACCTGAGTGGGGGCCAGGGGAGCGCAAAACCCAAAGACTTCTGCCCCCTGTCTCCTTGAGCTTCCATGAAAACACTCAGTTCAGGATCTGGGGAGGCCCTTGTGCTTGTTTTTCAAAGATTTCAATTCTGGTAACTAACAGGGATGGGAGGCCAGGTGACAGTGAGTCTCCACTTGAAGTCTGCATTTATTCCTTCACCCGAAGGGCTCCGCTGTCCCAACTGGTTAGTCCTCAGCCTCACCCCGGCTCCAGCTCCCCAACCCACCTCACCCTCAGTCACAAGGAAGAACTGTGACCCTCAAAGCACCTCCCTCTCTCTTGTTTCCATACCTTGTAGTATTGTTCCTTCAGTTTGGAAAATCTTTCCTCCCCCATCTGTCTGTGTCTTACTTTTTCTTCAAGACTCTGGTCCCTCTTCTCAGAAGGGTTTCCTGACCACCCCCACCCCCACTCCTACCCAGGTGACAGGCCCCTCTTCCCTACAACCATCCCGCTACCTGTCCCCACCTCTGCTGTAGCTCTTTTTACTCCGATGCCCCGCCTGTCTCCCGTTCTAGGCATGGGCTTCTCAGGGTAGGGGCTTTGTCTTAAATGGTTCAGGGTCTCCAGGCCCTTGGGCACAGAGGGACCATCAGTGTTGGTTAAATAATGAGGATCACGCACACATGGCACCAACCATGCCTCAGACCCTGATCTAAACTCTTTATGGATGGAAGATTCCATTGCTTTCCCCAGATCGTGCCCCAGCCAGAAGTGTGACAGGTGGTCACCCACCTGCAGCAAAACTCCCCAGTGTTGGCTGGCGGAGGGCAGACAAGGCCTGGCAGTGCCAGCGACTGACCCGTGGGGCATGCCCGTCACCCCATTCCTACCTGGCCTGAAACACCTGGAGGGAGGGCCGGGAGGTACAAGGTCTCCAGAGCCCTTGGGGAAACGTACACCCTTCACCCCGTCAGCAGAAGTCTCGGCTTCCGCTCCTGCCCCACCTGCACTGGCTCCTGGAACCCAGTCCTCGTCCCCACCAAGCCGGTAGGCAAACATGGCTGGCCCCCACCTCCCTCCCTGGGAAGGAGCGCCAGGTGCCTCCTCTTTCCCGGTCCACACCCCTACACATACTGTCTCTGCAACTCCTTGTCTCCCCGCCACCGGACCAGAATTCCCGAGGGCAGACTGCGTCCGGGTGCCCTCCCCCTGTGCTCTCAGCGGGCGCACACCGTAGGCGCTCAGGAGACGTTTGTCCAGTGGCCGAATGGGGTGCGAGGGGAAGGGCCCGAGCCCCGCCGCCACGCCCGGCGGCCCGCACGCCGGGATCCGGCTCGGGCTCTCACCTGGACTCCGCGGCCGCCCGCCGCCGGCCTGCCCCAGCCCCTGCCCGCCCCTGCCCGCCCCCGGCCGGCTCGCACTTCCTCCCGCCGCCCCGCCCCTTCCACATTCCTGCCCCGCCGGCCAGCCCCGCGCCGCCTCCCCGCAGCCCGCGGACGCCGCTCCGCGCCCGGCTCTCCCGCCGGCCGCGCGATGAAGGCGGCCCGGGCCGAGGGCGAAGAGGCGCCGCTCAGCGCGCCGTCCATCAATGTGGTCCTCGTGGGCGACGGCGGCTGCGGGAAGACGTCGCTGCTGATGGTCTTCACCCAGGGGAACTTCCCCGAGGTGAGTGCCAGCGCCCTGCGGGCACGGCGCCCTCCGCAGCTGTGCGCGCATCCCGGCCGGCCGGCCGCGGTGACGCACGGGCCCCGGTGCGCCCGTCGGTGCGGGAGCTGCCTCCAGAGGGGTCTCCCAGCAGAGTGTGGGGTCAAGGGCTCTTCTCACTCTGCCTTCGGGAGTGAGGCCCTCGATGATACCATCTGGGAGAATGGCACCTACCTGGGAGGGTGTCACAGGGCAGCCCGCGTGGTTGCAGGTCCTAACGGAGCACTTGGTGGCACTGCATGGCTAAGGGGAACTGACCTCTGGAGCCAGACCGCCTGGGTTTGAGCGACCACTTTGCCAATTACAGCTGTGTGCCCTTGGGCAAGGTCCTTACCCTCTCTATGCCTGTGTCCTTAAGGGCATAGGAATAATGATGGTGCCCACCTCCCAGGGTCACTGTGAAGAGTGAGTTAATACAGGTCAGGCGCTAAGCTCCAAATCTGCAACTGGAAGGGCTCACTGAAGATGGCAAATGTCTTTCTTGAGAAACATCTTTTCTCCCCCAGCTTCACCCCTACAATGGACATCCCCCAGACTCTTCCCTGGAGGGTAAGAGTACACTAGACTCAAGTCAGAGAGCTGGTTGGCACCTTGGCACTCCTCTGGCCCTCAGTAACCTGCTTAGCCTCCCTGAGCCTCTGCTTCCTCATACAACCTCACGGGGCAAGGGAGCCAGGGCGGTGGAGAGGTGGGTTAAAGTAAGGCTGAGAGATGACCCCCATGTGGTACCTGGCACATCCTTGGTGCTTGACATCCTTGACTGTCAGCCCTTCCCTAGCATGCTCACTGACTCCAGGCGGACTTGCCAGGCACCAGGATGGGCTGGACCCACCCACCATGCCACCTCTCAGCCTAGTTCGCTTTCAGAGTCTCTTCTCCCCACTGCCTCTCCCAGCACCGTGCAGACTCCCGGGGGTGTGGCAGGAGAGGCCAAGCCTAGTAACAGTGTCAGGCTTTTCTTTCCACTGTGGCAGCATCAAGCTGATTCTTGTGGTTTATGGAGCTGACATCACATCCTTTGGCCACATTTTTTTAAAGTTGTGGAGGATGTGTTTCCGGGCACCCAGATGCTGCCCATGAGAACCCAACAATTATGGCACAGTGAGGAAGGAGAGCACCACAGAGGACCGGGCCCGTGGGTCCGAGGAGAGGGGCTGGGAGGGGTGGTGCTTCACCACCAGTGTCCTGGGCTCTGAGACCAGTGTCCTTGACTGAGAGACCCGTCCTGATGTCAGAGAGGTTACAGTGTGGAAGGGGGCATCTCACAGTTGACGAAATGTGTGCGTTGAAGGACACACTGGAGTTAGCCAATGGGAAGGAGGGCATGTTTGTCAACTGGGGGATGGACCCGGCCTTGTCTAGGCTCCTCCCTGCTTGGGGGCCTGAATTTGAAGGAACCCTCTGCCTCCAGGCACAATAGAGGCCTTTCCATTTAAAAGAAACATGAACCCTGGCCAGTTTGGCTCAGCGGTCAGAGCATTGGCCTGTGGTCTGGAGAGACCTGGGTTCGGTTCCCGCTAAGGGCGAGTATCTCGGTTGCAGTTTTTCCCCGGCCCTGGTTGGGTCGTGTGGGTGGCAGCCACTCGATGTGTCCCTTTCACGTCGATGTTTCTCTCTCTCTCTCTCCCTCCCACTCTATCTGAACAAAATATCAAAAAATGTCCTCGGGTGAGGATTAAATAAATAAATAAATGAATGAAACATGAGGTCCAAGAGTTGGCAAGGTCTTCCTTTTACAGATGGGAAAACTGAGGCCAGAGAGACAGAGCCTTGCCTTGGAGCACAGGGCCCAGCAGTGGCAGTGCTGGCCTAGACCCTGGTCTCCTCTCCCCTCACCAGGATGCTCTCCACAGCCCCCAGTGCTCTGCCTGCTGGGCCCAGCCCCTCCTGCTCCTGCCCCTGGATGCCTCTTCCTGGCAGCCCTCCAAGTCCAGGGAGCGTGGAACTAGGAGGCTTGGGGCCCCATCTCCCAGGCCTCTTGCTTGCAGCCAAGAGCAGAGAGCAGGCTAGGATTTGGAGGAGCTTCAGAGACCTTTGTCCGGCTGTGCCCGAACCTTGGACTCAGGGCAGAGTGGAGCAGAGGAAGAGAGCTCCCGAGGCAGGGGTACTTCTGGCTGACATTTGGGGCAGGAACCATTCCCACAGGGCCAAAGCCCAGGGACCCACAGCAGACAGTACCAGCCCTACCCTCCAGAACCAGCTGAGTCTTCCTTCCACACAGGGACTGCCATGGGTGTGCTGCCCAGGGAGTCCCTGACTCTCCTCTCTTGAGTTGCATCCCCCACCCTGTAATGATCTGCCTGCCTGCCTGCCTGCCTGCCTGCCTGCCTTTGCACCCAGGAGGACAGACCCAGGCTGAGTCATTTCTGCCCTGGTCTAGCCCATACTCAGCCCTGCCTTTCTGGCTGAGGACAGCTTAACAGACAAGATTAGATGGTATTGACCCTATGGACAGAGTGACCCTGCCTGGGGGTTCAAAGAACACGAGTCTCCAGGATGCCGATGACAAGCCAGGGGAGCAACCCAGCCTCACATCATAGAATGTGGCTTTCCTGCTCACTCCTGACACCAGGGGCTAGAGCTGGTGATCTCAGGAAAGGCAGTGACTGAGGATAAAACCCGGCCTCTGGAGCCAGAAAAACCTGGCTCCATCTTTAGCCAGCTGTCCATTATGGTACCTTGGGGAAGTCCTTCTCCTCTCTGGGCCTCAGTGTCCTCATCAGGAGAATGGAGACAGTACTGACTTTCCAAGGTTTCAGGGATCAGAGATGGTGTGGGTAAAGGGCAATGCACAGTAAATCCCTAGGGAATGTGGGTGACATGTCATCTCCACAGGCATTTGCAGAGTACTGACACGTGTCTCCCAAGAACTGGGTGGCATGCTGCCCTGAACCTCAGGTCAGGAGGGGCCCTGCACAGGACCCCTGTACTGCGGAGTGGGTGGCCAAGCTGGGAGCTCAGCAGGCAGCAGTGTGCGCCAGTTACAGGCTGGTGGGGGTGGGGGCATGAGCTGGAGGGATGGGCCGTGGCTGGTGCGGACACTGTCCCTAGCAACCATCTTTCTAAGTGGCGGACATTTATGCTGGACCTCACCTGCCAGCCAGTCCTCCCCATCACACTGTGAGGTGACACTCTTCTCCTTTAACCAGTGAGGACACTGGCCTAAGGTCACACAGCTGGTGAGTGCCAGAGCTGTCCTAAGCTAGGCACATCTGATTCCAAAGCAGTGTTCCCAGCCACGTTACACTGTCCCCCACCAGGCAAGGGCACGAGGAGAGGGGCCCTGGATAGGCAGAGGGGCATGGGGAGGTGCGTGCAGGCTTTTCCGTTCCTCTTAGTAGAGGGGGTGAGCGCGGGTTGAACCCCTGCCCCAAGGCCATCCTTGATGTCTCCATCTGCCCCAGCTGCCTGCTCTGGACACACCTCTCTCTCCATCCTCCCCCTGCAGCTTCCCTTCTGGAAGACTGCACCTACCCAGACCCGCCGATAGAGGGCTGCCCCTACCAGAGGCCAGGGCCCAACCCAGGGCCAGTCACAGGCAGACCCCCCCAGGCATGGGAAGTGGAGGAGGGACAGCCCTGAGCAAGTGAGCAAGACCTTCAGACCCAAGCTGCAGCAGCCCAGCATGCTCCTCCTTATGAAGCGGAGCAAGCCCCAGGCCAGGAGCAGAGGGGACTCTGGCTTGGGTGACTTCCTCCTGAGCCCAGACAGGGCAAGTAAAAGAGGCAGAAACTGGAGGTAGCATTGGGCAGGGGTCTTGGTTGGATTATGAAAGGTTGAGAGGCAAAGGAGGGACCCCAAAAACATGTTCCTCACCCTGGCCAGTTTGGCTCAGCCGTTGGAGCATCGGCCTGTGAACCAAACAGGCGTGGGTTCAATTCCGATCAAGGTCATGTACCTCGGTTGTGGTTCACTTCCCGGCCCTGGTCAGGGTCATGGGGGAGGCAACTGGTCGATGTGTCTCTCTCACATCGATGTCTCTCTCTCCCTCCCACTCTGAAAATCAATGGAAAAATATCTTCGGGTGAGGATTTAAAAACAAACAAACAAAAAATCATGCTCCTCAGGCAAGCACTGAGTCTTATTTCAGGCACTGAGTCTTGTTCATTTCTTGCCCCCAGTGTCCAGAACTAGGCCTGGGTAAGGTATCATGACTGAACGTGTGAATGAATGAGCGGACGAACAAAGGCAGGTTAATGTCACTCCAGGGGAATAACAGTGGCTGGCATGTGTGGAGTGTTGATTTCGCGGTGGCCCCTGTGCTAAGGGCTCTGCGCGGAGGATCTCACTGAAGCCTTGCAGCAACACATTGTGCTGGGTGTTCCACTTGACATCCGAAGAGGGGAGGCCAGGCAGGCTGCTGCCTTGCTGGACACACAGCGAAGACGTGGTGCTTCTAGGCTTCAACCCCACCAGAACACTTCCAGAAACTATCACGTTCCGCTGACTCCCAACGAGGGCAGTGCCGTAGGCATTCTTGGGTTTGGGCCTGGGCACTGGGTCTGCCCCCCTTCAGAAGTTGTCCTCACCACCTCCCTTTGCCCCCTTCTTCCTCAGAGCTACACCCCCACCGTGTTTGAGCGGCTCAGCGTTGATCTGCCAATAAAGGGCAAACCTGTGAACCTCCAAATCTGGGACACAGCAGGTGGGTGTGCAGGGCCTGGGGCCAGGGTGGAAGGAGGGGCCCTGGATGCTGGGAGCCAAGCCCCACTCCCTTCCTTCTGAACCAGGGAGGCCAACCAATCTCCAAGGGACAGTGTGAGCCACAGTTAGGGGCCCCAGGAACTGAACCTGGCTTCTGTGCCTGTGTCTGCTGTCTCCCCCAACCCCAGGGCAGCAGCCGTGTCCTGGAGACAGAGGGAGGCCAGAGTTCTTTGCTCTCAAGGGTTGGACTGTTCTGGCCTCAGCATTCCACCCCGGCTTAGCTTCTGTAAGATCTGCCTGACCTTGACCTCTGCCCTTCAGCCTCCTGACCTGCCCACACAAGGGTTCAGGGTCAACTTTACATCAGAGCTTAAAGCTAACCTCAGGAGTCCCAGCAGCCCCCTTACCTTGGGTAGGAAAAGACATCTTTGCTAGGGTTCCGCCTGCCTCTTTCTCCTCACACCCCCAAAAGCCCAGGGCAAAGCAGGATTCTGAGTGATGGCCTCAGGCCCTCCAAACTGGGCTTCTACCTTACCCCAACCTTCCAAAACGGGTATCCCTGCAAACGGTCTCACCCAGACCAGGGCTGGCATAACCTGCTGGCAGGACAGGGGAACACTGTCCCGGAGGGAGACATTCATGTGGAATGACGATCTAAGTGCCAAATTTGTGTTGGATCCTGAGACACAGAACTGGACACACACACATATATATACATACACACACACACACACACACACACAGTTTGGTGGGATCCTGGACTTGATGTTGGGGAGGTGCTGACTGTGGACAGGAGATCTGGAGGGAGTGACCATGCCCATTCTACCAGGACAAGTCGATTACGACCGCCTTCGGCCCCTCTTCTACCCTGATGCCAGTGTCCTGCTCCTCTGCTTCGACGTGACCAGCCCACACAGCTTTGACAACATCTATAACCGGGTAGGTATTTGGGGGATGGGAGGCACAGCCCCCAAAGCCAGGCCATACTCTTGACCCAGCAGACTGTCAGAGCTCAGCAGGCCCTGGGTGACATCAAGGCCAGTGCCTTTGGCGTATGTGGGGAAACCAAGGCCCAAAGGTGGGCAGCAACTTGCCAGGGCTTCCATAGGGATTTGGTGGGAGGCCGCCTCTGACCCCCAGTCCAGCGCTCCTCGCCTGCTCTGCGGTTCTGTGACTGTGACCCCGCCTGAGAATGCGGGTGGCCAGAGGCCCCTGGCTCTCCCCCGCCGGGGCCTGACCAAGGTCACACGAACTGCTGGCTTCCAGCAGCTCTCAGCCCCCATCTGTGTGACTGTTGCCTCCCAGGACGCCCCCAGTCATGTCAGCGGTTCCAGGAGCTGTCAGGGCGTCGGTGTGAACGGCAGGCTCCAGAGTTCCTTGGAGCACAGCTGGTGACAGCATTAGTCATTATAACACGACAACGACGGCAGCATTAAACTTACCACGTCAAGCACTGCTCCGGACACATTTACTCACCCAGCGCCTCACAGCCTCGGGGGCAGTGTATCACTACCCCTGGATCACTTGCTCCAAGAAACACATCTGTTGACATGTGACCGGGATTTGAACCCAAGCATTCTGTTCCACGCAGTCATTCAGAAGTACTGACTGAGCGCATCCACGTCCCAGGCACTGTTCTAGGCACTGGGGACCGGATGAGACAGTGGTGGCTGGGACCGGGGTGCTAGCAGAGGGGTAGGAAGAGGGGGGTGGACGCTGAATCTCGGCAAGGTAGAACTGTCAGGATTTGCAGGTGGTTTGGACCAGAGGACCTGGAAGGGGAAGGGGGGACTTGCCATTTCCCAAGGTGAGAAGCAGCAAACTGGGAGAAGGAAGGTGGGACGTAGGGGCCTTTTGGATGTCCCCGTGGAGGTGGCAGGTAGGCAGGTGGAAGTCCGAGTCTGCTGTTCCCGGGAGGGGGCTGGGCCGGCTTGGCAGATCCATTCAGGAGCTGCTGGGGAAGAGCCATGGACTGGGACAGTCACCTGGAAGTCACCTGAAAGACAATAGCAGCTAGATAAGAGGCACGCCCACAGCTTGAGGGGGTGCTGATAAGACCCAAGAAGAACCAGAAGAGTGGAGTCCTGGGCAAAGTGCATACCCGGGTCTCGGAAGAGGTTGCAATGATCCCGTGTCAGGGCTCAGGTAGGATGAAGGCTGAGAACTCACTTTGTTTTTTTGTTTTGTTTTCTTTATTGATTTCAGAGAGAGGAAGGGCGAGGGAGAGAGAGTTGGAAACATCAGTGAGAGAGAACATTGACTGGCCGCCTCCTGCATGCCCCCCACTGGAGATCGGGCCCACAGCCTGGGCATGTGCCCTGACCAGGAATCGAACCCATAACCTCTTGGTGCGTGGGGTCGACACTCAACCACGGAGCCACACCGGCTGGGCCTGAGGACTCACTTTGGATTTAGCAGGGTGGAGTCACAAAGCAGACCCTTTCTGAGGGCAGCTTTGTGGAGGGCTAGAGGTGCAGAGTCTTCCCAAGACCCCACACAGGCCCCATGCGGCTCCCAGAGCTAGCCAGTTCGAGGCCGGTTTTTCCTGAACAGACACACCGAACAGGCCTGCACTCCTGGACGTATAATGCCTTGGTCTGGATTCCAGGCTCGGGGTTGTAGTCCAGGCTGAGTAACCTGGAGACTCACATTCCAAAGAGCAGCTGACTCAGGATGAGCGCTCCCTCCCACAGGCCAGCAGCTGCTGTAATCATGCTGTCAGCTGCTTTATCTTGAAAGGATCACTTATTTGCTCACATATTTACCCAGCTGAGGAGGTAGTTGTGGGAGCCCGTACCTTGTAGGTAGGCAAGGTTCTAGAGGGACTGGGAGCAGGGCAGTGACCTCAAATCCTGCCACTTTCAGTTGTGTGACCAAGGCCAAGTTATATAGCCTCTCTGGGCCTTGGTTATCACATGTGTACAATGGGATTGACTAAAAGTTGCTTTTCAGGGACCCGGGGGTTAATGAGTTCAGAGGTGCAGTCCTGGAGCCTGGCACAGAGGAGGCCTCCCTGAACGCTGGCTGTGCTGGTGACTGAGCTGCCTGGGGAGCAGGGGATGGCCCGTTCTCCCCTCTCAGAGAGGGCAGTACCCCCTATGGCTAACCCACACCGCCCCCTTCCCACAGTGGTACCCAGAGGTGAATCACTTCTGCAAGGAGGTGCCCATCGTCGTCGTGGGCTGCAAGACCGACCTGCGCAAGGACAGGTCGCTGGTGAAGCAGCTTTGGAAAAAGAAGTTGGAGCCCGTGACCTACCACAGGGTAGGAGCCCAGCCCAGGGGCAGGGAGAGGGAGCCTCGGGGATACCTGACCAGCATGGCCTCTCAGCAGCGCTAGGTGTCCGGCACACTGAAGGTGTGGGGCAGGGTCGCGGTTGCCTTGGAGTCAGTCATGGGCCAGAGACTGGTGGTGCTTGGAAGTGGTACCTAGAATACTCTGGAAGTTTCCACCTGTGGAAGGAGGAACAGTGATGAGCACATCAGATAGTCCTACCCACCCACCTCATGGTGGGGAACCTGACCCAGAAAAGACCCCCGGCTCTTCAGCCTGCAGGCCCCTGCCTGCTACACGCATGGGAAGTTAGTTGGCACCTCGAGAGGCAGAGACCCTGCCCAGACTGGGGCAGGAAGCCCAGTGAAGCCATGAGACCACTGGTCAAGCCAGGGGGCAGGGGCTGCGGGCACCCTCCACCCATGTCCTGGACACTCCCGAGGAGGGCCGAGAGGATGCGGGGGCTGGACGCAGGGTGCCCGCAGCCCCGTCTCACGCAGCCCGTCCCTCCCCGTTAGGGCCAGGAGATGGCGAGGTCCGTGGGCGCAGTGGCCTACCTCGAGTGCTCGGCGCGGCTCCAGGACAACGTCCAGGCGGTCTTCCAGGAGGCCGCCGAGGTGGCCCTCAGCAGCCGCAGCCGCAACTTCTGGCGGCGCATTACCCGCAGCTTCTGCGTGCTGACCTGACGGCCTCAGCGGCAGAGGGCGGACCTGGGCCCTGACCTGTTGCCCAGTTAGCTAGGCTGGACCCAGTTCCCAGGCTGTGACCGAGCTGTCCCTCAAACAGATGGTCACCACAGAGGCTGGACCCCTGACCCTGGGACCGAGATCCCTGGACTGAAGCGAAACCCCTCCGAGGCCTGAGGAAGGGGATTCCAGAGCCCCCCGGCACTGTGGAGGGCTAGTCCTGGAGTCCCCTGGACGCACACTCCGAGCTCCCCGCCCTGAACCGCACATGCTGGAGCCGCCGTGCAGCCTGGCGCCACCTCGCTGCTGTTCCTGGGGCTGCACCTTCAGGCAGCACCCGGTGGTCCTAGGACCACCCCCACGCCCACCCCAGCCGGAACTCACACCTGGCCCCTTACCCCTTTGTCCTGCCCTTCCCAATGGTAACTGTAACAACTAAAATGACATCGCCTGTCAATTGCAGCATGCCTCATATTTTGAAATGCCTTTATACGTGACAGGGTGGCTAAGAGCCCCCCCCCCCCATGCAGGTGCAGGAGTGGAACTGCCTGGATCCAAGCACGACCTTGCCTCCCCCTTCTCCCCTTTACTTTCTTTGAGAGCTCCCTGATCATTTGACCTTGCCCTGTCTGTCTCCCCACGGGATGACCAGCTTCCCTAGAGCACAGGCTGGTTTAGATGGAATCCCCTGTGCCTCCACCGGGCCTAGCACACAGGAAGCAGGCACAGCCCCTGTGCCCAGAGAAGGAAGTGCAACCTCTGCAGCTGGGGACCAGCTTCCCTACATCTGCCCACTGCCCACCTTCCCCGCTGGATGCCCAGGACACCTGACACCCCAGCGTACCTGGGGAGCACTAAACCATACCGGCTTCCAAAACTTCGGCTGTTTCCCCACCTTTGCACACCCTTCCTCCCAGTCACTGCCTGTTTATCCCCAAGTACTCCAGGGTCCCGCTCAGACGCCGCCTTCTGCAGCCTCTTGGCTCTGCCCGCTTCCTCGATCCCACCTGACTGCACCCACACCAAAGCGTCCACTGTCTGTCAGGGCCCCTTCGGCTCAAGAACTGGGCTGTTCTTCCTGAGCCGTGGGAGAGGCCAGCTCGGACTCCTGCAGATGACAGACAGGTCCAGTGGCGGGGCCAGGTGTCTGGGAGGGTGGAGGTGGGAGCGGGAGACCAGTTGGGCAGCCGCAGGCGTCCAGAAACAAGAAACAAGCCACTACAAGTCAAGACCAGGTGACTAAGCTGCAAGGGTGGACTGCTGGAAGGGCGGGGACGCTGCGCTCGGGAAGAATGCTGGCCACGCCCGGAGAAACCGACAGAGCCCCTTCTAGACCCGGTCTGGGCGAGGTGGGACTGGCAGGTGGCGGTGTCCAGCTTTAGGCCGCCGGCCATCAGCCACAGGCAGCCCTCCCAGGTGTCACAGGAGGGCACAGGGAGTGGTAGGACTTGGAAACACCCACTGAGAAGCCAGGGTTGTTATTATGGATGGTGGTTCTCCTCCTCCTCCAAACCTTTCAATTCCTCACAACCCCACCTAGCAAGGCAGGCCAGACAGGTGGAGACTGGGGAGGGCTAAGCCCAGAGGCCAGCAGGGCTGAGAGCCACAAACCTCGGAGTCTTCATTTCTCCACACCGCCTCTTCCTGGCTTTGGGTGTCTGCCAGGAAGGCAAGGGGCAGAGGTGGGGACCCCAAGTCAACTCCTCCAGGACAGGCCACTCCCTGACATCGTCAGGTGGACAGGGTGGGGTACACTCTGAGAGTCATGAAGCTTCCTTCTCCCCTCAGCATGGACAGCACCCTGAGCCCCACATTTGGATGTGGGGAGGGGATAGCAGCTGGCAGATCACCCCACTTCAGGTCACCCTCTTCACTCTGACCTCCTGCTCCTGTGGAGGATGAGGACTCATGGCCCCCAGGAAGTCATCCCAAAACCACTGGCACAGGAATCAGGTAATAACAAAGCCTGTGACCAGGCTGAGGAGCAGAGAGATCCGAAACTGACTAGCTAACCACCCAACATTCCAGGGCTGGACTTCCAAGTTACATGCTTCTGATTGTGTGAAGTATGGAATTTTCCTGGGTTCAAATCCTGATTCTGCAATTCACAGACTCTGTGACCTTGGAGGAGTCACTGGGGCACTCTTTGTGTCAGTTTCCTTATTTGGAAAGTGAGGATAAGAGTAGGATCTACCTCCTGGAGTGTTGGGAGGACTGAGTGAGTTCATGCAACTAGTGCTTATTCATGCAGTGTTAACTACTAACTAGAGTTATTAACTATGAAATGAGGGCCATTATTTTCTCTGCAAGGTTGTTGCAGGAGCTGCAAAGCAGGCGCAAGCACGGACATGTTTGAAGGATGTTGGTCTCCTTTTCCCAATCTGGGTCACCACGCCCTGGGAGGAGGAAGGCGGGAGCTCAGACCCTCCTGCACCAAGGATAGGAAACCTCAGAGAGGAATGAACACGGAGTGGGAGACTTTATAAGGCCAGCTGGACCCTGTGAGGGGAGCTGGAACTCCTCCAGGGTTCATGTTTGCAGAGGAGACACAAGCCTGGTCCAGTGCTGAGCGCAGGGCAGCAGGGTGGGGAAAGGGACAAGAATGTGGTTCTTCCTTCCCGAGCTTCCATCCTGCGTATGCCAAGGGAGCTCCAGTGTGGACACAAGTAGCCAGGGAGGGCAGCGTCCAGTATTCACTCAGCAGCCTTCTCCTGAGATCCACAGGAGGGCAGTTGGAGACATGAGTAGAGCAACGATGATAGGCCAGATACAGAAGGTCACCAGGGTGGACCCTGGGTGCCTAGCAAAGGACAATTGTAGGGACCATCCCCCCCAACCCCTGCCACCAGCATATCGCTGGTCGTGCAGTTTGGACCCCCTCACCTTCCCCCCTAGAAAGAACATCAAGGCCTCAGTTGTATTTCAGCTCCAGACCCAGAAAAGAAGCAAAACCAGACAAGCAACGCCACAGCTGGCCTCAGGACCAGCGGCGTTGGATAATGCCCCCACACCTGGCACTGACCGGTCGATCCCTGGAGACCCTGACCCTGAAAGGACACTCCTGGAGAGCTGCTGAGTATTCTTTCGAGATCTTTCCCTGGGACCTCCCCTAAGTCTACCCTTAAAACCCCGAGTACTGCCCTGGCTGGTTTGGCTAAGCAGACTGAAGGGTCACAGGGTTCATTCTGGTCCAGGGCACGTAACTGAGTTGCAGGTTCAATCCCCGGCCTTGGTCAGGGTCGTGTGGGTTGATGTTTTTCTCTCTCTCTTCCTCCCTTCCACTGTCTCTAAAAATCAATGGAAAAATGTCCTTGGGTGAGGATTAACAACAAAATAGCCTTAGGGAGAGGACCCAGCATGCCCACGCCTCTCTTTCCTTCCCCTCCCCCGTGGCACATTGCCCTTACCTTCTTCACTCCCGAGCTCCAAGGGCCCTTCCTTGACCTCAATAACTGGTTTCCTAAGCCCATTTTGTCTACAAATTAGTTCTACATCTATGAATTTCCAAATAAATGTTCTCTCATAGTTTAAGTCTTGGCTCTGAATTCTTTCCTAGCCAGAACGCAAGTACCGAGCTTTGAACCCAGGTCCAGTCTGACTGACCTCATCGCTCTAACACCTGAGGCCATTATTGCCGCCCACAACAAGGGGACCAGGGAGGTTCTTCCCACTGAATGACGAACACGGCCAACCCAGAACTTACCCACAGCACCCACGCACCTGAAGCAGGGTTGTTCTAGGACCCTCACTCCCGTCTGCCCACCAAAAGAGCATCGCAGAGTCCTGTTTGGCCAGGTCCTGTAGTTGACATTCTGCACATTATACCTCATTGTTTTTACAATCCCCACTTTACAGATAAGGAAACAAATCCAGAAAAATAAAGAGCAGGACCAAAAGCAGTGAGCGGCAGAGCTGGGCACAGGATGAGTGAGGATCCCCAGCTCCTGACCTCCATGGGCACTGGCAGGCACTTAGGTGGCTGCACCACAGCCAGCAGAGGGCAGCAGGGCCCAAGGAGAGGCGCCTTTCCCAAGCCTGGGGACAGGGTGGCAGACTGGCAGGCCAGGCGAGATCTGCCCCACCACTCCCGCCTGGGGCACTTTCGGTGACACACCGCTCCCACAAGCTGCCACCCACTGAGTGATGCCCACCCTAGAACTGTACTGAAGAAAAAGCGGGTTCAGAGTGGCCGAGTGACTTGACCATTCCGGCCAGTCTGGACATGCTGCGCTCAGTTTGTTATGGCTCGAGGTCAGAATCTAGGGTTCGAATCCTGGCCCTACAATTACCACCTCGCAGGATTATGGTTAAGTTCGTGGGCTGGACTGAGATCAAAGGAACCAGCTCAGCTAAGCACTCTTCATGGGCCACGTAACCCAGGCTCCTTTTTTCTTCTGCTACACCTGGGGAGGCAGGTGGGGCCTGAGGGCTCTCGGTCCTTGCCCTCCTTTCCCCTGCAATTTCCAACCCAGTTTGGGGAGATGATCAAAATTCTCCAAGAATGTCCAGGAACCCTAGGGTGTGCTCCCAGAATGTAAGCTGAGCTGGCCTGGGGCCGGAACTATCTTGGGGACTGGCAGGAGGAGAAGGAAGGGGAAGAGGAGGATCTGAAGGACCCTGGGTCCTGCCTGCTAGAGAAATAGCCCACACGGAGACCCAGACGCTGTGTTGGGGGCGGGAAGCTGCTGGAAAAGTTTCAAACTTTCTTCTCCCCGCACTCCCAACAGCTGAGGGAGCTGGGTCATGTGACAAAGTCATGTGACCAAGAGGCGACAACCCCCCCCCCCCTCAGAGCTTCCGTCTGGTCCAACAATACCCCTTTAGATACCCCGGGCTCTCCTCTTTTCAGTTTCACACCCCAACTTCCCACCCCCACCAAAAAAAAAAAAAAAAAGAAAGGGCCAGATAAAAAGTATTTTATAATTGTCATGCACCCTAAGTCCATCTCTGCAACTTCCATTCACCTCTGCCTCACCCCCAAGGCCGGGACCACCCCAGCACAGGGTGTAGGGCTGAAGTGAGTGCCCATCACCCTATCGGCCACCTGTGTGGCACACAGAGGACTTTCCTGTCTCACTTGCCCAGCTTCCTCCGGCTTCCTGGGGTATTCTCCCAAATATGCTCTGCTGCTGTTGTTGCATTTATACTGGCAGCCTGTTCAGTTCCTTCACAATTCCTGTTGAGCTCTTACTCCAAAATCCTTGCCTCCAGCCCTGTACCTGGACCCTCCCTGATTTCTCTATTCTCTGTGTAGCCAGGTGGGGAGCAGCATCCTTCCCTTCTGGAAGCTGAACCACCCACCGGACTCGCTCTCTCCTGACCCTGGACAGCTAGGACATCACCAACATCCACTCCTGCTCTGTCCCAACCCCGTCCTATGGATTTTGAATCTGGGTCAAGAGACGAAGAGGGATGTTTAAATTCCTTGTGGTGACACTGGCAGTGGTTTTTTTTTTC